CAAGAGAGCGTGAGAATTGTCACGTGATCTCGATGACGCAACAATATTATAATTAAGTTTTTCAAAATAAAACGAGATATACCAATACAGATAGATAGTCGATACTTATTAAATTGCTGCTGCTTTCGGTATTAACAACAAATCTCTGAGTCACACAGACTACGTGCGGTATTACATCTCCGAGAAAGTGCATCCGGTATTTCCTCAATTTCTGTACAAGTGTTACGCATGACGAATCCAAACTGAAAAGTAAACTAGATACAATGATTTTCGTTTTTGGAAACTGGAAAATTTGTTTACGAAATGTTGCCCGAGGTCGTGGTTTTATTTGTAATGCAATATAGTTTGGTGGACGGAAGACGATTAACGAGAAATTACTATGGTATGTATTTTGCGACGCACACACAGACACAGTTTAAACCATGTAATCAGTGATGTTTTAAAGAATCTTTCACACTGCTTCATTAAGTGATAGGATGTTACTACTACAAGTGAATCTGAGATTACTGGAAAGGAGTTGAATTCAGTAACAGAATATGGTAAGTTAATCGACTTACTCTTTGATAAGTGTGAAATTACGCTACTACGTAGACATCAGGAAAACCTTAAATTAACTAAAATAATTTTTCATTGCCGAGGTTTTAACCACACAATTTTGGTAGAAACACAAAACAATTTTAGGCTCTAAAACCAAATTAACTACATGCTAGAAATTTACTTATTTCTAAACTAGCTGGAGCACCGGTCCCCGAAGGGATGTTAATTATGTAAATTAATGATTAATGAAAGGTTATCTTAGGACATGAAAAGTTGCTTCTCTTATATGTAATTGTAAAGAATTAAAAACGCCCATAAAAACTGCAAAACACAAAAATGGGACGAAATAGTTGTAAATAACATAAAAATGCTCATAAAAACCACAAAGGCAAAACTGAAATTTTTTTATGTATCCCCCTCATGAATCCAATGACCTCCCTATCAAATTTGGTGAAGATCCATCCACAGGAGGTGAGGTAGTGGTAAAAAACGCCCATAAAAACTGCAAAATGCAAAACTGAATATTTGTATGTATCTCCCCATTGATCCAATTAACCTCCACACCAACTTTAGTGAAGATCTATCAACACCCTACGAAGTAGTTACATGGACATGCAAGAGACAGTACTATTATATTTATATAGATACATCTTGTTTTGTTTTGTTTTTTTTCTTTTCTATCATGGCAGTTTTATTTATTAATCTAAAATATCAAAGATAACATATTAAGATATACATTGTTTTAATGCAAATCTAACTTGAATAGTTATTTTGTAAGAAATACATTGCATAATCTTTTTTATATATATACAGGAGAGATATCAACTCATTGGAAAAAGTGTTGAGACATGTTAACTGAATGATGTGTGATTAAAACAAAAGTACCAGGAGAGGCTTGGATTTTTACACTTGCTTTTTCTGGAACATGCAACATAGAAAAAGTAAAGGTAACTAGATTTAGATCTTCAGAAATGTTAGACATTTTCTTGTATCTTTCTGTAGCTGGTCTGTTTGATTGATAGAATGAATATCTTAAAAATCTGAACCTGAATTTCTTAATGTAATGGGTCTAAGTTTTAGAAGAACAGTCCTACTTGTTTTTTAACAGAATTATACTTTGGGTTGTTATAAAGTTCTGGAATGACTTTCCTGATGAAGTGGTGTATGTGATCATGTTAATAGGAATTAACTTTTGGTAAATAGGTACATGCAATAGGAAGGACTACATTTATTTTGTTTTTGATATCTTTGTTTATTGCCTTTGTGGGTGAGAGATGATCTTGTTCTTTTTTGTGTTCTAATTGTAAAATGGTAATTGGCTATATATTACTTGTTATTTATGGTGTTGCTTGTTTTTATAGCATTTGAAGAAAATAAGTGACTTGATCATCCCTTTTATTTAACAGTTCATATTCAATTTTAATGAATGCATAGACAAGATTGTGAATACTTGCTGGGAATATGAAGGTTCTCCTGTTGAATCCATTGTTTTTTTTCAATTCAGTTTTTATTATTCAGTGCTTCTCTGAATTGTTCAGTCTGTTTTCACTGTAGCAGCTTTAGTAGGCCAGATTGTATTGAAAAATAACATTTGTCATTCTTAAATAAAATACAAAATACTATAACCCAAGTGCTTTTGAAAGGTAGACTTTTCTTCATCCGTTTGTTCCTGAGGAAGAAAGGTCCACATTTCAAAACTACTCAGGTTATAACTAAAGGGTTTTGTATTTGTGTCTTAAATTGATTCTTGTGAACCTACATGTTTTCCTAACATCATGAATGTCATTTTTGCATGTTATTATCTGTAGAACCTAGAGTAAAAATAGCTTTTTACGTAAATATGTCTTATGAAATATGGTATGAGAAATGGCTTTTTACATATATATAACTAACAATGTAAGTAATGTTCTTCTTATGCAAGTGACTATCTCTGTATGGTGCTTTATATTTGAATTAATGTTTTGCCTGTGCTAACTAACCAGCATAATCTAAAAATGTTAGTTAGAAAGTTGTGATGTGAGGGCACCTCATATTTTTGTACAGCTTCATGATAAGTTTTGTATTCTAAGTACAAATAAAGTGAGCAATGTAGTTCATGATATGTATGGATCAAGGTAGAAAATAAAATATAACAATTTTACACTTTCTGAGAAAGTATTAAAAATTATTTAAGTAGCTTAACAAAAATGTAAAATATGGGTTTGATGTACAAAATCATTAAAAAATATAATTTGATTAAATTTGATATATTAGACTGTCAAGAGTGTGTTAGTATTGTTATAGTGATAAAAAAACATTTTGTTATATTTATGTTGGCACTAGATATCATTTTAAACCTGATTAAATATTTAGAGAAAGGCTAGAATTTTTAAACACTAGCAAGTACTGTTGGTACATGTGTTTCAGGAAATAGCAATATTTAATAGAAGTTTCAGACTTAAAAGATTTGTTTCAGATATAGGTCAAATAATAAAGCAAAATCTCAAAAAAAAATATTTTTAATTGAATTCGCACCAATTCAGTTCAGCTTTGTAAATACATAAATTTGTCGATTTTATAGTCACACAAGCAGTAATAACTTTATTACTGCTCATGTGACTATCAAATCAACAAATATAGAAAGTTTTCTAGAGTTTTCCCCTCCTTTCAGAGAACTACATCTTGTACTACAATGTAGTATATAAACATTGGATAATAAATTTAGTTCCTAAAATTCTCTGAGTTAACAGTTGAAAATGCAAAACATATTTTAAAGCCTGTTCATTTTCTTTCTAATTGCTTCTAAATAATGTTTTTTCATCTTTTAGATGTGTTGGATCTGATGTTGATAATTTAAAAGGAAGCCTGAACTCTTCAATTTTTTTGACAGTAGTAGCAACAATGAATAACAAAATACAGTCCAAACCTAGACCTGCAGAGAGTTTTGTCTTTGAAGACAGTAACTACATTAACCAAACACTGCTGAATCTCAATAAGCTGCGGAAAAATAAGCAATTCTGTGATGTTATCTTGCAGGTAACCTATTTAAGGTTGATATTAAAAACAATTTTTACATGAAGTGATAAATTACAAGGAGGTTCAGAAATAAACAGAATTAATTTCCTGTATGCTAATCATATTATATCACAACTAACAAATAACCACCAGTGGTGATAAAGATAAAGGCAACTAGGTATCACTTTTCAATGTACTCCCCAATTAGTGTGACATATTGTTTTTTGAGCTTCTTTATACCAGTTAGGTAAGCTTTATGTGTGGTGTTATGAATCTGGTAGAGTACGGCTGCTTTAAAAACATCAGTTGCAGATTGGTCTCAAGAAAACCAAAAGAGATGGAAGTTATACTATAGTAGGTCAGGACTATATGCATTAAGAGCTTTATTTCAGTGGGTTTTTTATAGCCAGTGTTATTTATAGTTGTCTTGTGGAAAGGCATTGATGAATTAATATGATCACTTGTCAACCACAACTCTTTCATTTTTTGCTAAACTTCTCAAATAAAATTTGATGTAAATTGATTTTAGCAAATTCTTAAAGTAAAATGGCTAAAATGTATGCAGTTTAATATTTTAGCTTGTAAACAGTGCTTATGAAGTCAGTATGGGTACTTGAAACATTTTGTAAGACAAACAGTGCAATCTATGGGTAAAACATTGTGTACATGCATGAAGAATCCTGAGAGGTGCATTCCAGTGGGGAATGCTTGACATGGTCTGGTCATTAGGATGCTTGACTCACAATCTGAAGGTTATGTGATCAAATCCCATCACTGAACATATTCACCTTTCAGCCATAGGGGCATTATAATGTGATGGTCAATCTCATTATTCATCAGTAAAGAGTAACCCAAGAGTTGGCATTATTGGTGTAGACTAGCTGATTTCCCTCTAAACTATCACTTCCAAATGAAGGGTGGCTAGGGAAGATAACTTGCGAGTACCTTTGCTTGAAATTCAATAAACATTCCATTGGTGTTTGGAAATGTCACTAGGGAGAACCACTATAACAAATCCTGACAATGGTATGCAGCATGTAACATTTTTGCAGGAATTGCTTAGACCTTGTTACAATAGCATCCTTAAGTTGAGGAATGTTTGCTGGGCTAGCACAATAGATCAGTATGTTTGGTTAACCCCAAAACCAGTAATCAGTAGAAGTGAGATCAAGGAAACTTGATGGCTAGGCATGATGGAAGTATGGAAGATAATACCACATTTTGATATCTTACTTATATAAACTAAAGTATCGCTTCTTAAATGTATTTATACATCTGATTATACAAGGCTTAATAAAATATATGACACCCTGATTTCACATATAGGAGTTTAGTACTTTTAATTGTTCAATTAGAAATACTTACTGTTATCTATAAAATTAATATATGTGGCTTGAGATAAAATCAACACTTACCCAAAACATACTAAACCTATTTATTGTTTCCATCTTTTTTTTATCTTTGCTTCTAGTTATCAATCTGTCCAGTTTCTGAAGAAATTAAGATTGAAGTTATTACTACCACTTTATAAACTTTTGTTTTTTTAGGGGGAGTTATGCAATGCTGTGATAACTAATTTAAATGAAAGTCACATACTATTATTTAGCTACACACTACAAGAAGTTAGGTCCATTGTGATATAAATAACATTGTGACAATCCAATGTTATTGAAATTTAAACTTGAGTCCTTCTAAATCATTTAGTAACGATTTCACAGTGGTAATAAAGTTTACCCAACATACAAACTACTAGTAAGCAATTTTGATTATAATGCTATAAAATCATAATTTTTGAACCACATTTTCATATATTTTTTATTTCAATCAGATGTTAGAAATATTTATATTTTTACCATACAGTATTAAAAAAAATTCTAGTTGTAAAAAAAAATCTTAATATAAATGTAGTCAGAAAACTATATACCTCTAAAAAATATTGAAACATTTCTAATGGATACTGCTTTAGAAATCATCTATTTTATTTATTTTTTGCTTTTTCAGTATTGATCACTAGCATCTTTTGAGAGAAAATTCAGGATTTAGTAATGGACACTGCATTTGTGATGACCCTCTCTGCTACACATACAAACTAAAAATATTAATATTTATTGTCAAGAGTTACATAGTTACAGATATAAATATCTGATGCTGTGTTTTTAAGTGAAAAAACATACATAACCACAACTTTTTTGTTTCGACCATAAATATATGATGCTATCTGCTCTCAATATTAATAATGAAAACTTGCATTCAGTTTTTGATATTAAGTGTTTTCTACTAATATAATTATAATGTATGAAACTTTAAGCAACATTAAAGTAAAACTACACTGCATGTAATGACCCCTCAGGGCAAAATTATTTCCAAAAATATTTTAACTAGATTAATTTTAAAGCTTTTTTTTTATTAAGTTGTGCAGTTTCTCTCTCTCTGTTCTATTTGAATAACTTTTTTTGTACTTGAAATGAATACAATTATTGGTAAAAATGATGCTCACTCAGTGAAAGATAATCAGTTTCACTTGTATTATGATGTGTAGACAATTTATAAGCTCCAGCAGTTACTGTGATAATGTATGTGCAGACAGAATGTCAAAAAAATAAAAATTAGGAAAGAGAAAAAGATGAGTAGAATATTTTGTGCATATAGAAAATAAAATATACCTTATAACATTTTGCAATCAAAATTAAAATTCAACCAAAACCTACATTAAATATATGACTGGAAGTAATCAAAACAAATTACTGTCAATGTGGCAGTTGTTAAAGTAATATATACGTTTGGATTGAAGACTTGTATTACTTTTCTGAAATCTATCTTTAAAGTGATTGATACTTAATAATGTTTTTTATGAGTAGGTCTAATGTGATAGTAGGTTTTTTTTTAAATACAAACATTGACATCAGCCTTATTTATTTTAAAATGTAAGGATATTTGACTTTATTGAATCACCTCTCAAAAAAAACTGAGTTGTTATGCTTCTCAATAACAAAAGAAAATGCATCACACACACAAAAAAGCATTTGGAGTTGATCTTTGCCTTTTGAATTTATTCATATTATTCACTTGAAAGCTGTATTTGCAGTTATTAACATTGCTGTTTCATTTAACAATAAAATATTTTTAGATACTGATAAATGTTTTTATTTTAATTTCCACAAAACCAGGTTGGAACAGCCCAAGATATTCGTGAAATACATGCTCATCGTGCTGTCTTGGCCAGTGCAAGTCCTTATCTGTTTGAGCTTTTTGCTGCTGACCGTAATGGTGGCCACGTTTGTCAGATTAAGACCAATGGTAGCTTTGATATTGATGCTTTTGAAAAGCTTGTGGAGTATGCTTACACAGCTAGGTTTGTGCAAGAACTAAGTAGTGGCTATTAAAATAACAATGTAGTGATTTCTTTGTGAAACAAACTCAGTGCAGCATTGTAAATAACAGGTTGAAACTACATAGAAAGCTTGAGGCAATAATTCAGTTCATTATTTTTTGTAATGCATTGTGTATTAGAGTTCAGTTTACAGTTGATAATCATTGATCTATAAGAGTATGACTTAGAGTAATGTTCACTGAGCTTGTGATAGTAAAGTAATAACTAATTCTGTTATGCTATTTTTTAAGACTTAATCTGCTTTTAAGTAATTTGCACGTGAATCTGCTGTTATGACAATAGGAAACATCCTCAGTAATGACAATCTTAGTTTCAAATGTTAGGAATATGTTTCTTAAACTTTTTTGTAAGGTAAGGCTGCTTCTGAATATATGGAAAACAATCATTTAAGGATTTCTCAATTTTAGTTATCTAACTTTGCTTAAAATTACAAGTTATCTGTGTTGGGTTTCAAAATTAAAATATTAGGCTTCTTTTATATTTTGTAAGGCATATAGTTTTCTTTTTCAATATCGTTTTTTTTTTATAAGTATGATGAAAGAACAAAAGAAAGTCAGTAACTCATTAACACAATTTGACTTCTTCAGAAGTTTCTTCTTTATAATTAAATATTAGATACTTCTAACATCTGTTATACAAAAGATGTTTGTTTGTTGCTAAGTGTAAAGCTACACAGTGGGTTATCTGTGTTATGCCCTTCATGGGTATCAAAAACCAGTTTGTAGCATTATAAACCTTCAGACTTAAAAACTACCACTTAGCTACAGGGGACATGTTCAAAAGACCAAAAATATTTAAGTTCAGATAGCAGTCAACTAAACTATAAAATGTAAGCAGGTTTAGTTTTATTGAACGTGATTTAATTTAAGCATTGAGAGATTATAAAATACTAAAACTGTATTTTCAATAATGACAATTAAATATTTTTTGTTTAACCACTAAATTTGTCTTTAATTTTTCATCATTTTACAGGCTTCAAAATACTTCATAATGTGATCAATGTAAGTTAGAAACTGTTATACAAAACGAGTTTACATTCTTCAAGTTGGATGGATAATGACCCATGTAATCCAATTTTTGATTGATTTCAGAATATCTATTTTTTTGTTTTCTACTCTAAACTTTTTAAATGGGAATTGGACAGTTAATTTGACATAATAAAATAATTAAGATGCTGTTATGTTTACTTTCTCTTTAAGAATTTAATTGTAAAAGATTTGTGTTAAAACCCATGTAACCTGTTTAATAAAACATTGCTCTTATTCCTCTAGGTAATGATTCTGAGACATAGATTTACTTTTCATTAATAATTTTCCAATTTGATATATCAACCACATGGAAATAAAATAGATATCACAGCAGATGATAATTATGTTTATAAATTTTGAAGTTTAAAACTCATACTATGGAAAATTAAGACTTATCCAAAAATTTAAATTTAGCTGTAAGTAAAGATGATATAGATTCAAAATAACTAATAGGTTCACATAATAAGTCTGCTACATAAGCCTCCCTTGTTTGAAAATAGTATTTTAATTGTATACATTATATTAAGGTAATTAAATGCTGAAGCAAAAATATATGTACTTAATACCAATTAAATGGGATATGTTCATTGTATTTTTGATACAAAGTGTTCTGTTAGGTAGACTTGCATCATTTCACATATAACTACAGTTATGCAGAAGTATTACAAGCTGCAGTTTACTTGTTTTATTATCATTAAAAAAAAATGACAACATCCAGTTTTATTAAAATTTTTACATCAAGTTTGAAACATTTAAACTGAGTTTTGAGTGCATTATTAATTTATTGTCAAATATATCTGTTTTATGATAATGTATAAATCATTTTATAAGAGCATTTATGCCTATGTAAGTTATTCAGCAGGGGCTTAATCAGTTTTTGACCTTGTAGTTAGTGTGCTTGACTCACCATCTGCGGGTCATGAGATCGAAGCCCATCACCAAATTTACTTTCTTCACAACCATGGTGATGTTATACTGTGACAGTCAATCTCACTATTCATTGGTAAAGAGTACCCCAAGAGTTGATGGTGTGTGTGTGGTGTTGACTAGCTGCCTTCCCTTCATATTTTATAACTTCAAAATTAGGGATGGCTTGCACATATAGCCCTAAAACAGCCTCAAGTGAAGCTTAACAAACAACCAATCAGTCAGTCAGTTTTAATATTTCACTTGGTTACTGCATGTTGGTAGCAAGATACTGTGACACTTACGCATTATTTTTGTAGTATTTGCATGAACTAAACAACTGAATTTCATAGATGTGGGAACAAGTGGTTGGAAAGCTTATGTAACTACATTATTCTTTAATTTGTTCTTGTTAATGGCATAAGGGTATGTTGTTGTTGTTGTTGTTAAGATATATGTCATTCCTATCTTGTAGATATGCATTAGACTTTTCTATGAATAGGGACTAATTTTGCAACGTCTCTTTATTTTTTATAACTAAAACCAACAATCTTGGTCCTAACTTCAAGTAAGAATTTAGTAGATTATAAGCTTTATGCACAAATGCTGAAATTATGATATAGAACATATGGTAGTAGTCTGTTAAACTAAATAAACTAGTTTTTTTTTAATTATTTATTTATAAGATGTTATTGCTCAAGACAGTAATTACTGTCTGAATATCTAAAGAAATTTGATTATGGAATATATTTTGGTGTAAGATTTGAAACTTCACTTGTTATTTGTTTTTTTTGCTTGTTTGTACATTTTATTATTATTGTCACCATGGGTTATTCATATAGAAATTCCCATGTTTTGGTGGCAACCTTGAAAAAAAGTCTTAGATAAATTTCTTATATAAAACTTTGCATAACTTAAGGTTAGATCTTACTAGGATACACTACACTCTTTAGTTGAAACTAAAAATGTTTTTCAACTATTATGACTTGCTGGTTGAAGTCTGATCAATCATATCCAAGTCTATAAAACCACTGATTTCTTCTCTCTGTTTTACAGTTTTATTCTCCTTTTTTGTTTGGATTGTAATGTTTATGGATGACCTCTCTTCAACAGGAAGACCACTCTAACTACATTTCTCACAATGTTTGTGTTTCATGAAAACTTCACACAGTTCTTGCTACTGACACTAGGATAATTAGACTTTCAGATAATATCCCACTGTATATAGACTTTTTATTTTTACTGAAAATTGGTGTTCTATGGTTAAATTACTTTGAAAAAGGCAGTGGGTCTTTACCACAATTTTGACACAAAAGAAGAAAAACTTATTTTCAAATGAATATTTCTCTGCAAGAGATGAATCGATGAGCACAAAAATTGTATTGTGTGAAATTTCTAATATTAAATTAAGATAAAGTCAATTTTAGTGCTTCTTGTCATTTACTGAGTATTGCAATGACCAAAATGCTGCAAATTTCTATATGATCGACTCCCAGCTAATATTAGGGTTAAATATTAACAAATTGAAAAACTAAGTTGCTTGTCCTTTTTTTTCTTCTTTTTTTTGCCTAATTTGATTATTTGTCTTTGGGAGGGGGGTCTTCTTATTATTATTATGATTACCAGTTAACTTGTGCAGTCTGATATGGAAGTGTTTTTATGTTTGAAATCTGATAATATTTGTTAAATATTTGTACATAAATTTATGGAAGGTAAATGTTTGAATGATACTCTTCATATGTCTTATAACTGCTTGTGTCCTGGTTTCTATCATAATTATTGTAGTTATAATAGTGGGAAAGCTATTTAGGTTAAATTACATATTGTACTGCTATGGGATCATCATATTTGAGAAATTAAAATATTTTCTGTAGATTTGAGGTGCCAGCTGACAAAGTCAAACAAGCTTATGTAGCAGCTACTAAATTGAAGATGACTTCTGCAGCTAAACAATGTCGTGGATTTCTAATAAAAAATCTCTCGCCAGACAACTGTATAGGTGAGTTTTTAATACGTTTAGGTTATCTGTAGCTAGTTAATAAACTCTTTGGATACAGGTGGGTAAAACTGTGCATGTTATGACCTTTTTATAGAGCTCAACATTTTATTAAACTACTTTATTATCAATGTATGTTAATAAACTTGGCAGCAAATCATAGTTAGGAAATCAAACTTTCTTTTCTTGATTTCAAAAGTACATATTTTATTAATTTCTTAACCTTCTCTATATCTTGACACTTTTTTACTCCAAGTTACTCAATATAGATATTCATTCCACCTTCTATTTCAGCTTATGAGTTTTAGTGCAAAGACATGATATAATTTTATAGCCTTCAATAATCTTGATTTTCAGAGGTATAAACCTGAAAATCAACCCCACATGACATGCCTTCCTATTACATACTGTCATTCACAAAATGTCAATAAATCTCTACATTTGCAAACACATTACTTGAATAGAAAAAGGTTTCAGTTTACTGAATTATCTAATAGACTAGCTCATTCTCACAACAGTATTTGAATTATTAGGTCTACAGATCCAAAGTTGCTATCACAGATTTCACCTCAATCAAGTAACTTGCAGCTAAGTTAGAAAGCCAGTTAAATTATAGTTATTGTGTAGGACATTGTATTCTTTATGCATGCTAATATTTTGTGTTATTAATTGAATATTTGAAATGAATAAACATTCAGTAGAGTATTATTAATACCCCCTACCAGAAGTTAGGTTAAACTTTTATTGAGACTGACTGCAAAAGAAAAGTACAAAGACCCACACTCAATACAAAGCTTCAAGTATATCGAGATGTTTGGCCATCTTGACAAAGACTCCATATGTTTTAAAGTATTGCATTTTTTTTGTATATGATTTGACTAAGCACATCTGATATTTCAACAGAACTCGTAATGATAAATACTACACAAATGGTTCTTTAATTATGCTGTAAAAAATATTCTTTGATCAGGATTACATCAATTATTGTTATAAATTTTCAAATATTAAGTACTTGAAACTTTGATAATGAAAAGTTAAATTTGTAGATGTCCGTTCCATTCCTGGCCTGTCTCCAGACTCTGATCCCGAACTTATTTCAGCTGTGGACAATTATATCAGACAAAATATAGATGACATTATTCAGAAAAAAGTGTTTCTATGCCTTCCTCACATTCAGGTTGAACAGTTGCAAAATAGTAGTGAAGAAATGCAAGCAACTAATCAGAAACATCTCTGCGAAATGGTGTTAGATTGGATAAGAAAATATTTTGATGAAGATGATTTGAATATTGGTCTTGCTACTGATAAGGTATGAAAATCAAAATATTTGAGGTGTATCTTTTGAAATATGTTGTTTAAATAACTTATAGCAGTTTTAATTATGACCTTTTCACGTGATTTAAATAGTGATAATGGGTTCTAGAAATCAGTACAAAAATTTGGCTAATTGTTCATTTCAGAAGCTTACCTTTCTGAATTGTTCTGACTTGCCATTCTTATACAAATATTATTAAACAACCATTTGGCCTAACTGAGGGAGCACCTTCTTTATCATGTTGACAACTTTCTGCCTACAATGTATTTGTTCAGATAATGTCAACATTCACCGAAGTTTTAATAATTTGTTTCTTTAAAGCAACATATTAGAAAAGTAATTGAGAAACAAGACATTATTTGTTGTAGGTGAAATTTTAAGTTAAAGTAAAACCTGAAGTAGTAATGTGCAGTTTAAATTATACAAGCCTGCAAATTTACACTTCATAAAAGTTGTCTTGGTTTTAATAACAGATTTTTCATAATTCAGCTACACAGATTTCGAAAATAATATTCATTTTTGTCTATCACGTAAGGATTTTTTACAAGAGGAAAAAACTCTTACTTAGATCAAATTATTATTTCATTTACTACAATGAACATTTTTATTATTATGTTTGTTAACAAAAATACAAACAAACTGAAGAAAATGGAAGTACATTGATGTTAAATGAATGTGCATCTGCATTCCTCCTGATTTTTCTTGTGAAATCTATATTTTTAGTCTCAAAACTATGTGTTGCGGTCTTTCTTTTATGTATTGCATTATGACGTTTTGGGAATAATCCGTACATGATGGAGAAAAATGGATATAATTTTTGGATTCAGCGTACAGGAATTACTGTCCAACATGTAAAAATTTTAAGACAATAAAACTATTGCAGGCCTGAGTAATTAGAAATTCAAGTACCACCTCAACTTTAACTCAAAATAGCTCTTGTGTACTTGTAGATCTTCCATACCTTTCAAGTTAATATTTTCCACATAACTAATTCTACATTGTTAGCTTTCTGTATATTTTGATAATTCTAACATTTGCTATATTTAACTAAATGGGCACTCAGTAGAGCATACCTCCGCCACGTGGCTTTGATCATATTCAACCCTCAAAAAATACAAAAATGTGTATGAATGTCCATTACTATCAATGGACACTGACCATTTTTGGTAGGAAAATGAGGAATAATACTCTACATATGTCCACCAAGTTTCATCAGAACCCAATCATTTTTTACTAAGTTATAGAACAAAAATAATGTGAAAATTGGTCCTCGTGTTAACAGATAGGGATTTTTTGGATTTTCATGACCTTGACCTTCTAAAAACTATTCACTTCTAAGTTGAGTCACTGTCCAAATTTATACCAATTATTGTCCAAATCCATTTAGCCATTTTCGAGAAACCTTGCTGACAAACACACACATGGGTGAAAACAATCTCTAAGGTGGCAGAGGTAATAATTGATTATTTAAGCTTAAAATGGACACAACCATATTACCACTGATTAACCAATAAATAGTGAAATATTAAATGGATTATTTTTCTAAGATAAGCTGCTTATATTTTAATATAAACTAGTTGTATTATATAATTATTTAAATTGTAAAAGAGTGAAAAATGTCTTAAAATGTACAATGTGATAAAACTAATTATAATTTATATTTTTTTTTTTTTTCTGAGGGGGTTTCTGGATTTGTCATGCTTAGAGCTTTAATTTTGTTCAGTTCCTTGTGAATTTTATCTAAGTTGATCCTCTTTTCTGTTTTGCTAGAATATGTTTTGTAAACAGTTTGTGGATTGTTCAAATCTAATCAAAATATTTTTTTTAATTCAACATTCCTAAGAAGTTATGCTGTACGTTCACAATATTTTGTATAATAATGAACCATCATTAAAATCAATTTGTCCTCTAATTATGTGTAGTATTTGTTTAATTATCAGATGTTTTCAATGTGTTTTTTTTTTTGTTTAATTTTTACCTAGGTACACATGTTATACTTGAACTCAGATGGGACTTTACATGATTGCAATGACATTGAAAGTGGTGACTTTATAGATTCTGACTTGATCCAAGACTACAAGAAGTTGTCTCAGCGTATTTCTGTTCCTAGCAAAATGAATAGGAAAAGTTCTGCTCAGAATACATTCCATAAACCACGTCAGTTCTTGTACACAAAGTCTGACTCGTGTTCTTCACTGTCCTCATTGTCCGATGATGAGGAACGAGATTGGAGAATAGTAGCCACAACAGCTGCAGGGAGTAAGATTTTTGTTAACCATTTGTGAATCATTTTACTGTTTAGTAAACATCATGGGTAGACTTTTTTTTTATAAGTAGGTGTTGATAATGTTAAGTCTTGAAAGTTACTCAAACAGGAAAATAAAACGTATTACACATATTCATGAGATTTAAACACCTCTTTATTTTTTCAGTGCATACATATACATTAAAGAAAATAAAATATATAACATACACTTGAATATTACACAGTCTCTTATAACAACTTGCTTTTTTTTTATTTCATTCCAAGCTACCATTGTTTGTTAAGCACCAAACATTGGAATAGACTTGCCAAAATCATAATTTGTATGCATGGTGAGATCCATTTATTTATTATAAGTCAACTTCTTTTCAGACTCTGCATAACATTAGATTAATTGTCATAAAAAAATAACACAATATCATGTTTAGCAATTAGTGAAAAAAAACCTCAGTAAACGGAATAAACTGCCAAGTTTGATATCAGACTTCTGACAGTTTGTTCTGATTACTGTGGTTTTTTCACTAGCCTAATTAACCTTACATAAATGTATTGTGCTCACTTCACCTCATAAGTAGTTTATACACAAATAAATAATCTTCACATTGAAAAAAAATTTTCCCAATAAAAGACCATTTTCTTATCATATAACAGAATTTATCATATAAACTTATATTAAAGTTTTTCTTCATTACCCATTTAAGCCGTCTCCAGCCATTATTAGTCTCAAAGTGGGTTCCTCGTCATCGAATATAACAGAAATTATGTTTCCAAATACAAAGGATTCACTAATAATTAGAAGTGATTGAGCTGATTTTTATTATTAAGTAATAGTAGATTCAAACTAACATAATTACAATGATTTGCCAAAGTAGAGATAAAATGTTAAGTAACTCAGTTTTTGTAGTTTTGACTTTCTTGTTTCAATACTTTTTGTAACATTAACACTCTCTATATAACCATAGCTAGCTAGATTGCTTACATATCAATCCCTAATTGTCTTTATAAAATAAATTTTTTTATTATATTTGTTATTTAAAAAAAAAACATGAGTCATATCTCAACAGCATAGAATTTATGTTAGAATTTATGTCATTCTAAATCTTTTAGGTGATGATTTTTAGTGAACCTACACAAATCTCTTTGTGAGCCAACCTTTTTTTTTTATTATTATTATTATTATTACTTGCAGCCACCCATTTCTTTCTGTAAGGAATATGTTTAGCTTGAATATTTACAATTTTCCACATTTGATCAGTGTCTCCAAATAACTTAGCTGCAGATAATTCTAGTCACATCCCTTCAAAATTTGCTTTTTTGAAATTTGTAACAAAAATATCATTATTCTGGGTAGCAGCACGTCAAACCTAATAGAACAATGATCACTTGCACCCAGATGTTCCCCAGTTTCCACCCCCTCAACCATTTTTATATTTCTGATTGTTATGGCCATTGAAGATCATTTCAGTAGTACAAAATATTTATGTGTATATTTCATAGCTTTAAGTACTTTTCATATTTCTTCTTTTGGAATAGAAAACACAATATTAGCACTGATAGTGGTATCTGGAAAACTAGAAGTTTTGTCTGTCAACCAAAGACTGAACACACCATCTGGTAGTAGTCCAGCAATATCACAGCCTGAATCTGTAGAGAAGGCTAATAATTATGCTCTGATCCCTCCTATGATCTCAGGACGCTGTGCTGTTGGGACAGCCGACTTTCAAGGGAAACTTTTAGTGTGTGGTAAGTAAGAATTAAGAAATCTGTAGCCAGTGCTACCTCACACATTAAACAGAATATTAGACACCTGAAAT